ATGTATTGCTTCTCTGGTGAAAGTCTCAGTTGGACATGTTTTCGGAGACGTCGATGACTTTTTTCCATGTTGTTTGGGGTGCTATCTGCTGGTATGGATTCCATAAAATCAGGCTAAGTGGGTTTCAAACAGTCGATCCTAACTGTCTCCGTCCTATTGTGTAACTGGACAGTACAATGCTTAGCATAGGCACGAACGAGGAATGGACACGTATATGAAAGTTCTGAGGATTGTTTCAAACGGTTATTCGCGAGTAAATATATGGATACATGAAAGGAGATCAATGTGTCGGCGTGAACATTATGGTTCAAGGTTCATCTGTGTATTTTACACCAACCGCCCTTCTGAACTTGTTAAGCACTAGCTTCTTTACTCCTGTTATAACTTTGTACCATAGAGCGGTCGTTTCTTCACCGTTTGCATATGCGATATTCGAGATCGCTTTTGGCTCAGAGACCTTGAACCTATTCAATTATGGGCGATCACCTAATGTCACCTTGCGTAAAAATCTACTGCCTACCCCCACGTTGTACCAACCTCATTGTAAGAGCTTATCTGTATCCAGATAATTTATTTGTGGTTTAAGGAAAGAAATAACGCTAGCCGCTACAACATATGCAGGCCCGAACGGTAACCGTACCGGATTTCTAGAAGAACAGTTCATCTGAACAGTAAGAAACGAAGTGCAGAATATCGAGGAGAATTAATGACATTTGCGGGACTCGTTAAGTGTATGCTTTTTTACCCGTCATATACCATTGTTCCATTGTTCCATATCTGACTCTCTCGTTAACCTAGCGGATCGCACGCCGTTGATGCGCACAGTGTACGCTTAGTGGATGGGGGCGGTCGTTGTAAGTACAATGTTGTGCCGTCTGACCACTAGCCGCCTCCTTTTCCACATCCAACCCCGTGCCAACAATTGAGAATGCGCCTGCCTGATTGAGCCAATCTACCTACACAAGAAACGCTTCAGCATATGCGACAATCTCTGAACGGTGGCAGTGTTGGCCGATGGACAGAGGAGTTCAGCAGCAAATCGGTAAACCAGCAAGACGCGGTGAAAAACCAAAACATTTATTCTATCACTGGGTGTGTTCATTGTGCGCTCCACAAGGAATGCACAATGCCGCCCATTCTTTTCTGTGGATTGGTCAATTTTCTCGGATCTTAAAAGGTCTTCAAATGGGGATCCATTTTTATTAGCACAGAATGTACAAATTGCTTGTGATACGTTCCACCACCGTATTCAGTTTTGTGTTGAAGTTGTGGCTCTAGCGTGTACTAAGAAGTTGAATAGCACTGCTGCACCTGCAGGCATCTCGAAAAAAGTCGCCACTAAACTTCATAAAATAAAATGTTAAGGCAAACAAACTGTTTTACTCTTCTGATGCTCCACACTATAATGCTAACAACGTTATACCATGATCACCACAAAATACTATGCTCCGAGGAGGTGATGGTACTGAAGTGTACAAACGTGACAACCTCCATCTCAAAACTTTTGGATCGTAGACGGAACAAGAAATCAAGTAATGTTAACTCGGTTGTAAACGCTGATAGTGTAGCGAGAACGACACGACAGGGGGGTAGACGTTTATTGCACACCGAAAATGGGCACATGAGGGTCTCACGTCCGCCATCGAATATCGACTAGATGTCCGTCCCACAACGCAACACCGGTACGGATGTTAGAGACGAGCCAGTCCTTTCGCCTCGGGAGCTCTGACTTGGAAGACCCGCCTTCCTTTTTTCGCCTCGATCTCCACTTCTCTGTACCCGATTTGGATCGGCCAGGAGTCGTTCGAGAGCTCTCGACTTGCTTGTTCTGGGCTGTATCAATCGGCTCGGCCTCGGTCCTGTGGGCTGCGCTAGCGGCGTATATGTCTGATTTATTGCGCTGTCCACATATTCCCGCTCCGTAGTTCCGGGCCCAGGCTCGTCGCTAGCCGTCCTTCTCGATCCGCTCTCAGCTGGCTCCGAAGAGCTCCCCCGAGGCATTCTTGGAAGCGACCCCTCTACACCCGCCCCTCCTCGAGGACCTTTCTTCCTCTCGTACCATGGTCGCAGGAGAGCAGCATTCACCCAACGTTTCATTCCTCCGCAGTCAATTAAAAAGTTGCCCGCTTTCTGGTCGATAATGGTGTAGGGGCCTTTCCAGCTTTCTCTGAACTTGCTTGCGCCCGGCCCGTCATGATCCGGCCGATCGTTGTTTCGTAACTTGACCCTTTCTCCAATCCTAAATGGCCTCCACTTGTGAGCCTCATGTCTGGCGTCGTAATTTCGCTTATTCCGCGCTTGTCGAGCTTTGGTTTCGCTTCTAGCTTTCCCCCGCAGTCGCTCTTGATGCCCAGCTGGATGTTTCCGCTCACCCGGGTTCGGTAGGCAAGTATCGAGCGCAATCCGTGGTTCTCTGCCGAACAGTAATTCGAATGGCGAGACCATGGTGGTTGATTGCATGCTGGTCCGATATGCGATCAGAACCTGAGGCAAAGCATCTTCTCATGCCAACTTCGTGCAGTTTATCCACGTCTTCAATGTCCGGTTGAACCGCTCGGTCATCCCGTTGGTTTGTGGGTGGTACGGTGAATTTCGCCGTCTCTGGATGCCCCACTTGTCCAACACTGACTTAAACGCTCTTGACTCGAAGCAGGGCCCTTGGTCCGTGATGATACACTGTGGGATCCCATACCTTGCAGGCACATTGAATTCGAATACTTGCGACACTGTCTCGCCTGTTTGGTCCTTGATTGGTATGGCTTCCACCCACCGAGTGAAGTGGTCAAGCATCACTAGAATGTATCTGTTTCCTGTTCGACTCACTGGTAAGGGCCCAAAGACGTCCAGTCCCCAACACTGAAGTGGCTCACCAACCTCCATCGATCGCATCGGCGGTCTCGGGGACTCCATCTCCCGACTCGTTTGGCAGTTTGGGCACTCCCGAAGGTATGCCGCGAGGTCCTTCCTCATGGTTGGCCAAAACACTCGCCCCCGCAGCAATTCAAAGACCCGCTCGAATCCCATATGGGCGCCATCATGAGTTATGCGCATCACACGTTCTCGCTGATTTGGTGGAACAAAAGGCACTTTCCGTCCGTCTATCGCCACCACCACGTTATCGTTTTCGACCTTCAACCTGTCCCAGATCTTGAGGAGTTCCTCCACCTCCTCCGATGTAGCCTCCGGTTTGGTGCCAGCCCGTAAGTGAGAGCACAACACATTCACGAATTCATCTGTCCTTTGATCTCCCAGCAGGTTCCTCTCCCCCATCGCGAACGCACGCACCGGTATGGCATTGTCTGGCATGATGTCGTCCAAACACGGGCGTGACAACATATCTGGCAATACATTCTGCGTCCCATCCACGTGCTCAATGATGAAGTTGAATTCCTGCAATCGGTAGGCCCATCGCGCAAGCCGTCCCCGCGGGTCTTTCGCCGTCATCAACCATGAGAGCGGTTTGTGGTCAGTGACGACCCGGAATTCATTCGCCAGTAAGTAATTTCTCCACTTCTCTAACGCCCACACGATGGCCAAGCATTCTTTCTCCGTTGTTGAATACTTCTGTTCCGCCCCCGTCAACACTCTGCTCGCGTACTCCACCACCCCAGCCGTTTGAGACAAAACCGCACCGATTGCCACGTTGCTTGCGTCGACAGCCACAGTGAACCTCTCACTAGGATTGGGTAGCCGTAGACATGTCGGGGCTTCTGCTATGCACGCCTTTAGATGGTCAAAGGCTTGATCCGCTTCAGCTGTCCACGCGAACAGCACGTCCTTGCGAAGCAGCTTTAACAACGGGCTGACCTTCTCTGCGAACTGGGGCACAAACTTTGAATCACCACTCCCAAGAACGAACGGAGCTGACGCTTGGATTTTGGTTTTGCGAAGCACTTGATCGTCTCGCGTTTCTCCGGAAGTGGATGGACTTGACCATTGCCCACGACGTGACCCAAGCATACAATTGACTTTTGGGCAATCTGCGACTTTTTACGACTGAGTTTCAGACCAGCTTCGTCCAGTCTCTGCAGTACTGCTCCATGTCTGGTCACATGTTCCTGTTCCGTCTCAGAGAAGACGATGATGTCATCACCATAAACAACCACGCCTTGCAGGTTCGCCAGGACTATCAGCAACAAACGCCTGAATGTAGCTGGGGCGTTGCACAATCCAAACGGCATTCTCAAAAACTCATACTGCTGGCCATTGACACTGAACGCCGTCTTGTGGCGATCTCCTTCTGCGATCGGCAGTTGCCAATATCCCGAGCGGAGATCAATCAGAGATACCTGCTTGGCACTGTGAAGGCTTGAGAAAATTTCTTCCATCTGAGGCATCGGGAATGCATCTTTCACAGTCACCCTGTTTAGTTCTCTGAAATCGATGCAAAATCGATAGGTTCCGTCGGCCTTCTTCGTCAATAGCACGGGTGATGAATACGGGCTGTGCGTTCGCCTGATGATTCCTTTCGATTCCATCTCGGTCACCTGCTTCTGTATCTCAACCAGGGTGTTCTGTGGAATTCGTCTGAAGACTGGCTTGCATTGTCCTCCTGGGATCAGCGGTATTCGGTGTTCAACCCGATTGCAAAATCCGTAATCATCTTCCGCGTCTGTGAATAAGTGGGCATACCGGCTCAGTACGTTGCGTATTGCCAGGTTCTGACAATCAGGCACGGCTTTGAGGGCACCCACCCGATCGGTTCTCCCCTTGTTTATCTCCATCGTATCGTTAGCCACGATCACCACATCGTTTTTCAGGTCAATTGTGACACCGAGCCGTTTCAGGATGTCGGTTCCGATGATGGTTTCGGTCGTCTTCTCCACGATGAACATGTCATGGCTGATGAGCGTTTCTCCTATCCTGATTCGTAACCGCTGCGTGCCCGTCACTTTCAAAGAATGCCCACCGACCGTCTGCATCGTGATTGAAGATGGGTTTACTGGAACCCCGTTGAACCTCTTCGTAATTGACACTGCCGCTCCTGTGTCTACTATGGCTCAGACAGACACACCTTCTATAGCTACCTGGAGGACTGGTACTCGCCACCGACTCGGCATGGATAGAGAGAAACAATGGGGCACATTGACGTTGGTGCAGAATCTCGCCACGTGACCACTCTGGTTGCATCGGAAACAGCGGCGACCGTTCCGGATTACCCGTACGTTGCGTTGTGAAATGGTGCTTGAAGACTCTATCGACAACAGCTGCTCCACCATTTCAGATAGGCGATTTACTTTCTGTTCCAACTCAGCATGCTGGATGCTTCTCACTGTCACTTGTTCCGACAAATTCTGGGCGACTGTCACCAGATCCAACGCTTTGCTGTCTCCCACCATCGACGCCAATTTCACCTGATCATGGAGTGGACCGGGCAGACTTCGGATAAACTGCTGTTTCAGTAGACGCTCTCTTGCGTTGCCCTCTAACTCGGGGAGCCCAATCGTTAGATGTCTGTCCAGCTGCTGGAAAAACACTATCAAATCCTTCTGTTCGTCCCATCTGGCTGCGTAAAATCGTTGCAGTGCTCGTTCTCTCTCCAGATCCTTCCAAAATTCTGCACACAAGGCAACCCTCATCTCAGCGAACGGACAGCCGGGTTTGGCTTTCCGAGTGAGCAGATACACCGCCTTGGCTCGTCCACTCAACCGTGTGCCCAAAGCAATTAGCAAATTTGCATCCCCCCTCACACCCGTGCAAGCCGCAATTCCGTCGAACTCATCGAGCCACGCCTCCACATCACCGGCCGCAAATTGCTCTAACTGTGTCAACTCCATCGCGATTGGTCACGGCACCAGTGTAGCGAGAACGACACGACAGGGGGGTAGACGTTTATTGCACACCGAAAATGGGCACATGAGGGTCTCACGTCCGCCATCGAATATCGACTAGATGTCCGTCCCACAACGCAACACCGGTACGGATGTTAGAGACGAGCCAGTCCTTTCGCCTCGGGAGCTCTGACTTGGAAGACCCGCCTTCCTTTTTTCGCCTCGATCTCCACTTCTCTGTACCCGATTTGGATCGGCCAGGAGTCGTTCGAGAGCTCTCGACTTGCTTGTTCTGGGCTGTATCAATCGGCTCGGCCTCGGTCCTGTGGGCTGCGCTAGCGGCGTATATGTCTGATTTATTGCGCTGTCCACATATTCCCGCTCCGTAGTTCCGGGCCCAGGCTCGTCGCTAGCCGTCCTTCTCGATCCGCTCTCAGCTAGCTCCGAAGAGCTCCGCCGAGGCATTCTTGGAAGCGACCCCTCTACAATAGAACTGCCATAACCGATCGCGCACTTATACCTTCGATCGTCAATGACTAATTCATGTCTACATATAGCACTAATGCGAAAGATGATCTTCAACACAAGCTGATACACAAAGTCAGTACTACACTCCATACTGTTGAATTCACACTTAGTGATATATATCGCCACCTCAGCTTAGTTCTGCCATCATGCTCACCAGACCCTGACAACATCCCGCTAATTCTAGTCAAGCACGGAGGTCCAGACATCCCCCTGTTTTCGCTTAATGTATTTACACTTTCTATGCTCTGGAAAAAATCAACTACAATACCACGATACAAAAGCGGATCTGTGCAAGTATAAATTACCATCCAATCCACAATACATCTGTTATCTCCCGAATAATGGACAGGCTAGTGAAAGAACGCATAATCTAATATTTACGTTCTATGAGCCTTCCCAGTAAACATCATCACGGTTTTTTGAAAGGCAAGTCATGCATTACCTGTCAGTTAGATTAGCTTAGTTATGTGACTACAGCAAGTGACGCCGGAAGTGCCATCGTTGTAATATTTTTTGATATCCAAAAGGCTTTCGACCGTGTCCCCCATAACTTATTATTGCAGTAGCTTATGTCCTATGGTATCACAAATTCGCTTCTAGATTACTTGTCATCCTACCTCGAGGGTAGAAGGCAAGTAGTCAAAACTGGTGACTATACATCTGACATCACCTCAATCTCTAGTGGAGTGATTCAAGGTAGCGTGCTAGACCCGCTTTTATTCTTAATCTATTTCAACAATTTCATTAATGAAATTTTATACCGGAAACCATTCCTCTTCGCTGATGATGTTAAAATTGTGTGTTGTTCCGTCCCTGGGCAACGTAGTTTTAATCTAGCCTGTATTCACTCAGACTTGTTCGCTTTAGATCACTGTAGTAACTCTTGGAAGCTGCACTTTGCCACGGACAAGAGTAATCTATTGTACTACGGCTATGGCCCTTCTCCGAACATCCTAACCTTAGACGACCCCTATTTTTGTGTGTGACACAGTCCGAGAGCTTAGTTTATGATATTCTGCCTCATTTAATTTTTTAGAGCATGTTGTATACTTGCAGGCTTCTGCCAGAAAAATGAGCGCCTACATAAGCCGGACTCTTATCTTGAGGGATTCCAGGCTTCAAAACTCTAAAATATATGTTAGGCCGAAGCTTGATTACTGTACGATAGTGCACAGTAATTTGATAAAAGTGGACAACATAGCACTAGAAAACATTCAACGTCCTTTCACAGAGGTTTTTGCACATACGTAACACTATGACATACCTTGAGCGTTGCGTTGCTAAAACTGGAGCCACTATGGCAACGCAGACTCAAACTTGATTTGTGCCTTCCATACTGCTTACTATTCGGATTATGCTTCACTGCTCAGCCACAACTCGCGTTTCAGACTCGTATGCGGTATGAACTAAGAAACAGCGAGCACACATTACAAATACAAAAGTCTCGCACCAAGCTCTGCTCAACTTTTTTCTACGTAAAATATGCAATTATATGGAACAAACTTCCATCGAGTATTAGAAACTGCACTACCTATACGCAATTCAAACGCATGATTAATATTTACTTGACTGTTTCGAATATCTGGTCAACACTTAGCAAAAATATGACTCTAGATGATGTGTATGAGAAAGGTCCTGGATACAACTGGTCCTGGATACACTTGAAAGTCACTATATCCCCTGATTGTCTCAATATTATAATGTTACCTATATATAGTTGAATTTTTGAGTACGTATCTATGAACGATCTTACTGCTTTCACTCCGTCTAACCAATTCTGTTTTTCCTTTGATGCATCGGTTCGAAGACGCAATACGTCTTTCAAGCTGAAGTCTGTACAATCGTAATCACTCGCCAAGTTTTTCTATCAAATTGTGATTGGCCTATCGGCAAGCGATTGTATTCATTATTATGTTTTTTTATTTCCTCTTCCTTGTTTCATTGTTCGCCATGACTGGGCTGATCTCTTTCGGTGACGGATTACAACTTCCAAACTATAAAAAAATTATACCCATGCAAATTATACTGCTACTAACTCGCTGGCTTATAACAAAACGCGTCATACTTGATTGATCCATATGACGGAATGGGCTGAGGCTTCATCGCCCATAATGTATGCATGGCACCCTAAGCTACAACGAAAAAGATTATACATGATATGTATTGCTCAAGTGTTCGTAGTTGGACACGTAGTCCCGAACTCGGTGTGAGAGTGCACAACCGGATACACGCGTGGAACAGTATTCTGACACATGAATCGAAGCAGAAGGCATAAACGGTAAAAAGAGCCAATAAGAACAAGAATAGGATGCCACTTAGTATCGACCAACGTGACAATCCTGTTCGATCCAATCGCGTGAGTTTGTGGGTAGTTGGGTAATGACAACACCTGCAACCGTAACAATACAGCGGACAGTTTCGGTAGCTTCGTGGTGACGTCCCAATAGAGGACCACTTCCTCTGGAACCCGATCCATCTACGCCACCATCTTACGAACTTATTCACGGCACAACACTGGATGTTACCAGTTATATTTGGCGAGGTGTTCTACTTCACTGGAAGTAGCTACCTTTCTTGTCTTCCCTTGCAACAAACATGGTAAGTACTTACACTTTCTGTTGTTTTTCTGTTATGCGATCGGTGTTCAAGAAATGGTTCAACGAAAATAGATTCCCATCACTATGATTCTTGGATGGAGTTTATCGCTAATCTACATCTATATCCTATGTGGCAATCAACTTCGTCTAGTAGATCCAAACTGGCGTGTAATACTGTTACACTAGAGAGTGCGGAACCAGTGCACAATTGCTGGCTTTTAGAAGAAGTAAAGCAGATTGAAATACGTAAGGGCCAGCATTTCGCACAACGCATTGATCCTGAATTTTATTGAATCAATCAATGAGTTTTGGCAGTAGGCGGACGCCTTTGGCAAATTGGGACAACCAGTAAAAGCATACAGTGGCTGGCTAGCCGAACAAACTCCACGGGGTGCCAGCTGGGTAGTCCGGGTTAATCCGGTTCCAGCGAATGGTTCGGCGGCAGTGTTTCAGGACCTGGTAGGTTTTCACCAGGCAAACGTTCTCCTTATAAAAAGCCACAAATGTCTTTAACAACACTGTGACGTGGCAGATATGACTCGCCACTAAATAAAGTCACCGCATCCTGCCTCTCCGGAGGATCTTACTCCATTGACGTACGTCAGCCACTTCGAAGATATTATTTGATCCCTTTCTCTGTTGACAAATTCACGGAACACAACCACCAATTCAGTACAACAGGAACAATTTCATTCAACATGATTGCTTACCCATACACTTACAGACATATACACTTAAACATATAACGAAACTAGTATGTACTGGTTAAACTGTAAAATTTATGCACAGTTACCGATCATACCAGTCTGTATTATTAGGCTCATGCCTTTTTAGGCGTGACCCGCCCTGTCAAGAATAAAACATATTTATTTATTTATTTAGATGCCAAGAAAATGCGCGCAATACCTATCCTCACGTGAATGTTACAGCGAATTCGCGGAAACGTGATCTATATGGCTTACATGTATGTTTTTTTAGTTTTATTTCCAGGAAATCTTTATGTACGTCTTTTGTTGACGTCGATTTGCCTGTCCCAACTACTTTGGCTAGAGACACAACAGATAACCTGCGTACCATTGACTTACACATGATCACTCGAGCAATTCGGTCGTTCAACATGATTCATTATCCTGATTCTAATGGTCTCCCTTCCGTACTGTTTATATTAGGTGGTTTTGATATGCTGCTCAGCATAAGTACCGACATCCTTCCTGTAAACAGAAAGTAAGTTGATAACCTAGAACATGATTCTTTCAGTCTGGAATCCCGGATGACAGCCGGGTCCTGGTGAACAAAATTAGGTCCGGTAGCTGCTCTGAGATGAAGAGTGGAAGCCAATCTATTTTGTTTCCGAGACTGCGCACTTTCGCAACTATTATTGCTAGTCCTTTCTTTATGTTTGAGTTACTATAATGAGTGGGGTTTGCCTTCATCGAGCTCCTGGGATTTTTCCCAATACTCAAAAATCTGCAATGTGAAGATCCGTTTCCTCGTTTGCTCGGCAGATTTGCAGCTCAGTAACAGGTTGCATCACAATGTCTCGGTTCTCCTGAGGTCTTTCGGAACGCAGATTTCTCTCTTGTGACTCCGGGCCCTTCCGAGGACGCGCCAGCATTCTTCCTGACAGACAGATTTTATAGGGCGAGCCTTGTACTGGACTTTTGTCGCAGAGAAAAGCTGAGATATATTCCCCTTCTCACTCCCGTCGAAAGGTATGGCAGCCATCCGCTCAAGTAAGGCGGGGTCTTTGAGTACTTAGCCAGCTTTGCTCATTTTGTCACATTAGGCGACGTTTGTAATGAACTGGTAACGGTTACGAGGGAAGTGTTTGTTCGGGGACGCTGCCTTTGAGGGTATCTTTACTTTATTCAATTACATTAC